TGTTTGAAGCTTTAAACTTCCCCGGCATGGTTCCGCTACGTAGACGATACTTTTACCCTGTTTGAAGGTAAAAAGATGATTTAAATAAAGTTCTTTCAACATGAATTCTTATTGATCCTGCTATTCAGTTCACTTTTGAGCTTGAGACTTGCAATTATCTTCCGTTTCTCGACATTCTGGTCACACGTACACATCCCAACTTCAGTACTACGGTTTACTGTAAACCTTCATCGGTTTGCCTTCCACCACACTTTAAATCATGTCATCTGACTAAACAAAAGTTAGCTTCATTTTATTCCTATGTTTTCCCGTGCTCTTCAAGTTTGCTCCTCCAAACTAGCCCTTGATGAAGAACTAAATTATTTAAAAGCAATAGCTATTGACAGGGGGCTTTTCAAACAACATTATTAATCAAGCAGTTTAAAAAATTCTCATCTCAACACACTAAAAGGCACACTCTTGTTTTAGGAGATTATAAAAATTCTGTTTTCATTCCCTTCTTTCCATCAGTAAGCTATAAAGTTGCACATATTTTGCAGAAATTTAACTTTCGGGTTTGTTTATTCTCCCATCAATAAAATTCCGAGTTCCATACTCAAGGACCCCATTCTGGATATGAATTCCTGGGGTATTTATAGGATTCCTTGCCAGTGTGGTTTAATTTACATTGGCCAAAGTAAGAGAGCCTTAAAATTTTGCGTCAAGGAACATACGTCAAGGAGAAAAAAGGAAACACTGAAGTCTTCTGTTGCTCAACATTGTTGGTCCGAAAATCACTTTTTCAATTTTTCTGCTGCCAAAATAATTCAAAAAACATCTTCCATTGCAGAACTGGATTTTCTAGAGGCATTTCACATTCATAAAAATCTTTCTGTTCTAGTTAACGATCCTAATTCCAATCCAAATTTGCCTTCAGCCTTTAAAGAAATTATAATTCAGCCTTAGTTCTGGTTTCACCAACAGATGGCGCCACTTGCTTATTCTTGTCCAGGCTTTCTTATCTTATCTAATCATTATTTCCTATCTTGTTCATTTGCGGTTTTGTAGCTGAGGATGTTGGTTTGGTAAAACCATCGAAACTAGTCCTGTGAAAATTTTGTAGACATAACACTGAGTTTTGTTGTTTGACTCTGAATTACTATTTATTCGGCGTGTTATTGTGTCTTAATTTCTTTCAATGTAAGTTGGTTAATTTGCTTCATTTTGTGCTAATACTTTCTCTTTAATTCTATAAACAGACATAATTTCTTGTTCAGTTACAAAGTTCCACTGTTCAAGTCCTGTAATTGCTGTGTCGAGAATACCGACTAACTTGTCAATCGAAATTTTTTCGTTTTCAATAACCTCTCTGTCACTTTCTTCACTATTGGAAGCACGCATGTGTAAATGCTTTACTGGCTTTACACGCATACGTAGTGGAAGCGTGCATGTGTAAGCGCTTTACGCGCATGTGTAAGTTTGTGGCTTTGAGGTCCGGATTATAGATCATTCTGGATAATGGACATCCAGATTACGGACTTTATACTGTATTATTTCCTTGTATTTTATTAATCACCAGAATAAAAACTTTCAGTCATTTGTTACATTTTTATTAGTGTTTATATTGTTGCAAGCATATGGATTCGTAATAAACCAAAAGCAAAAGTCCGAAAATAGGTTAATAAAAATTTATTTTTATCAAACATAATATTTCAGAACCCACAGAAATATTTGTACAAATGTTCACAATATCACACAGTATAATCAGCAGTTACACTTCAAACTACTAAGAACATTAAACACAATGCAATGCAAAGCACATCTAAAGAGAAAGCAAATTCCGATTTATCTCAATTCACACAAAATTACAACTCGCAACAACAATAACTAAGCAATTGAAAGTAGATACTTTCTCTCTGACCTTAAATAGCTTTCAACCAGCCGCTGAATGTATTTCTAATTCTTTCTGCTTCTCAAAATTACTGGAAAGCAATACAGGGGTCGAATTACAGTTACAGCTTACATAGTGGTCAATTATATTTTTTTCAGTTACAGTACTTATTATGGTGATACAGGAATTACACCAAAATGTCAACACAGTGATTGCCAAGTCAGCAAAACTGTTGTCAGCTTGGCGGTATCTCACAAATTACCGAGATACACATTTTCTCTATTTTAAATGCACTTGTCCCTGTAATTCTTAATTTTCTGGCATAGCTTTCTCTTAAAAATTGTCTCCGATTGCATTACACAGGAAAATAAAATTTTACGTATGATTCAACTAAAATTACCTACGTACAAAATTTGTAACGTTGCCCTCTTAACAAGGATTGCATGTTCCTGGCTTCCTGGAGAGGAAGTACAGAAGTATGGAAAGAAACAAAATATTTTTAACTATTAAATTCAAATATGAAATACCTCAACGTCCTGTTTAAGTTTTCCCTCTAACACTCGTATATTTATATGTGATCTGAGCTTTGTTCAAGGTCAAAAACCATTCACAGAATTTAGCAAAATAATCTGTTTGTATTTTTACAATATTCTTTTACCCAAACACATAATAAAATTTGTCATAAATGATGTTTTTAAAAATAGTAATAGAAATGGTTGTTGTATTTAATAGTAAATAAAAATAAGTTCCTATAAAAAGATAATACTATCTCAATAATTCTTTTAGAGTTGATCAATTTATTAGCATGTCTACAACTTTAGGTCGCCATCATTTTCGAGCTCATATTGCTCTATTTTCAATTAGAATCACTTTTTTACATTTGTTTGCTATCTCTAACAGCAGGTATTTTGTCTTCTTGTTGCCTTGCATGCCTTACTTTTCTACACAATTTAAGAATTTTTTTTTTGAAGAACTCTTAATATATTGTGCATTTAAATATTAGTAACAAAATATTAAAACTAACCTAGATTTTGAAATTGGAAAAATGGCTAGGACTGACCAAGCAGAAAAATGATTCACAGGTGATGGATCCAGGACAATCTACTAACACTAAAATTATTGAAAAGAAATGAAAAATTGTTTACAGAAAATATAATGAAAGTTATTTATCATTTGGGTTTACGTGGAATGGAGATGAAATGACTCCCAACCTCAACGTATTGTTTGCAGTGAATTGTTATTTAATCAAAATATGAAACCATCGTTCCTTAAAAGACATTTAAAATTTAAGCATGCCAGTTTAAAGAATAAATCTGGAGAATATTTTAAGTGAAAATTATTGAAGTTCAAAAATAGTAAACAAGTAATGAAAAATTTTGTTACTTCAGGTGAAAAAAGCTTAAAGTAACAAAATTAGTAAACAACTAGTTTTCCAATCAAAGCTTCAAGTGAAAAAGCTTTGATTGAAAGCTAGTTGCCTAGTAAGCCTAAGAATTGCCAAGTGGGCAGTCTCACACAATTGGACAAAACCTTATATTACCAGCAGCTAAAGATATAGCTTTAACATTATTCGACAAAAAAAAAAAAAAAAAAAAAAAAAAAAAAAAAAAAAAAAAAAAAAAAAAAAAAGAGCTAATGAACATAATAATATTCCATTATCAAATGATGCAGTAAGTCAACAAATTCCATAAAAGACACAAATAAAACACAGGAAGTATTTCGCATTGTAATTGGGTGAAAAATACTAATAATATAACGAGCTTTGTTCAATTGTCAGGGTTTATGTACACTTTGAAGAAGATAAACAAACTGCCCAAGAGTATTTATTTAGTGAATCTTCATGATAAAAGACTGCAAAATTTTCAAGGTAATTGACAATTTTATGTCTGAGAATGATATTCCTGGAATAAGTGCATTGCCATATGCTGTGGCACATCTCGGGCTTTAACAGGAAAATACTGCAGTGTTAATTCTCAAATACAGAAATTCATACTTGAAACTAAATTTACTCACTGCGCCATTCATCTTGAGGTTTAAGTAGCCAAAACAATTCATGAAAACCTGAAAATCATCAATTTTATTAAAAGCCGAGATTTAAATTCCTGAACATTTAAGATTTTAAGCCATGAGATGGGCAGTGAACAGAGCTTTTGTTACATTCCGAAGTAAGGTGCTTATCCACAGGAAAAGTTATAAATAGTCTTTTTGAACTTCAAACAGAAATTCAAATTTTGCTCTGTGATTCAAAATTTGAATTTTAAAACATTTATTTAGTGAATTATGGTTTGTATGTTTAGCATAGTCAGCTGATATTTATGGAAAGTTAAATGAATTAAATTTAGGATTAAAAGGACAAAATCTTAATTTGTTTACCATCAGCGGTAAAATAAATGCAATGATAAAAAGACTCGATCTAATAATCAAAGAATTGGATAATAATATTTTAAGCTTTTTATCATTTTTTGAAAGCTTTCTAAATGAAAATAATTTGGAAAATAAAATAAAATAAAAATCATTTTTTTTTTCATTGATAACATGTATTTTCCCAAGGACTATGAAAAAAGAAAATTGGATTAGAAATCCATTTTGTTCAAATATACCCGAAATTTTATCTCGTAAAGAAAAAGAGAAATTGACAGAAATTTTCAGTGATCAAACTCTAACTGAATATTTCAAAAACAACACATTTCTTAACTTTTGGCTTTTATATTTGAAAAATAAGTACAAAACAAAATTAAAAGCGGATCCTAATTTATGGCTAAAACAAAGTGAAATAAGATCAGCCATAAAGAAACTGATCTTTCTTAAACATGCCGAAATTTTGCATTATATTTTAGAATTAAAGTACTATAATTTAAATTTTTATAATTAAAATGATAACTAATTTTTAATCAAAATATTCTTATGTGTGTGCATATTTAATACAAATAGTCAATAGATTGTGCAAATGGCAAAATATATATTTTTAAATATTTCTATTGAGAAATTGAAAAATAATTATTGTAAAGTGTAGTGGTGGTACTAAAGTTTTTCAATTTTTGTTTAGATGGAACACGTCAAGGTTGAGAGCCATTGTCTTACGTAAAAATGTATATTTAAACTACATAATGATTAAATTGAAAGTACTTACTTTTCAGCTGCTTCGGGATACCTAGTAACATCTAGTTTCCCAAATTTAAGATTATCAAGTCCATATCTAAAATGACAATTTGAATAATATGATTAATTATACAGTAAATATGTCAAAACACTTTAAAAAGAAGAAAAATTAAACAAAATACTTACTTAACAGACATTTCAGCAAAGACTGGTGCGAAATTCACACAATTAGAATTCCACACTGTATAAAATGTTATAAGCCAAGTAACCCTTGTATCTCTCTTTAATTCCTCCTTGAAAGAAGAAAATAATCTCAGTTAATGGAAAAGTCAGCTCAAGAATTTTCATCTATAGATACATTTTTGCTTGAATTAAAACATTTTTGTAATATTTCAGAAAATTGCATACAATAAAGACAAAATATTTCACAATTTTGAGCTGCAATCACCATTGCCAAACATGCACAAAAAGATACTATTTATGTGGGATGGCATCGTTCATTATAATCGGATGACGCAACAAGCTGTGAGAATAAAACTTTTACTTTCCCGATGATGGAAGTCAGATGATTCCGCCATTAAGACGATGCGACTGAAAGATGTTTGAATATATAAGACGATTCCTTCTCTTCATTTGTAAATAATCTCACCTATTTCCTTCTACGTATGTAATTACTTTGTAGTTTGTAGCAACTATTCATGTTTCATTAAATATTCAAGTTTTACATTAATCGGACTAGTTTATTAGCCCCTAGACAGCCACCTAAGAAGTAAGTTTACAAACATCATATTCCTAGACAGTAAGTACCGATTCTACAGATTTGGGTGCTCAGGCCACGATGAGCCTAGGAAGAAGCATGATGAATATTACAAAAGAAGAGAAGTAAGTTTTGTTTTGATTATTTCCACATTGTTACTTCTAAGAATAGTGTTCTATGATATTGTGAATTAAGATGACTACCTTAAATTCTATTCCTAGAATTTCCAATTCTTTAAAGGACTGGGCCTACTAAGTCAATTAAACTTTACATCAAATTGTGTTTGGAAGTTTAGGTGATCGAAAAAATAGAGCTAGATTGTGTAACTTTTGTGGTTTTCCATCTGATTTTAATATTGAAGAAACAAAACAAAAATTACTTAAAACTCTTACTGCAAATGATTTTATTTCTGTGTATAATTTGTTACATCTTAATTATGATTCAAATCCTGATAAAAACTGTGATTTAATATTGAATAGTCTTTGTGATTTTAAGCTTTTAAAATCCGAAAGTGATGACAATGATCAGTTATCTGAAAACGAAAGTGTTTATGATTTTGATAAAAATGATGATGGTAATTCCTTTCGATCAGAATCACCTCCCATAAATAAATCAGTGGATGAAAACATTATAATGCCTAGCAATATTTCCCTACATTTTCGTGATATCTTAGAAACTGTTTCTGAATTTAATGGCACTGATACATATCCAGTTGAATCCTTCATTGGTGATTTAGAAGAATCTTTTAAATTATTTAAGTTATCAGAATTACAGAAAATCGTGTTTCCCAAAAAATTGCTTACTGGTTCTGCTAAAGTATTTATTAGGTCTTTGAAGGGTATAATTAAAAGAAAATCTTTTATCTGAATTTGGTTCTAAAATAAACAGTGCACAACTTCATAATTTGTTACAGAAACGACACTTAAAACCTGGTGAAGCACTTTCCGAATATTTAATTGCCATGCGTGAAATAGCCAGTCGCGGTTCTGTTGATGATTCATCAATTCTTGATTACGTAATCAATGGGATACCAGATCAGAGTAGTAACAAAATTGTTTTGTACGGGTGTAAAACTATTTCTGAATTCAAAGAGAAATTAAAAATTTATGAGAAAATTTGCATTCCAGATACGAAAAATAAGAGTTATTCAAGTACTAACACACAAAATAAAACACGCATTGTACCTAGTAAGATTAAAGAGCCAAGGTGTTATAATTGTGGAAGTTTAGGCCATAAATCGAATTTCTGTAATAATAAGAGTAAAGGATTTAAGTGTTTTATATGCAATTTGTTTGGACACAAAGCCGTAGATTGTTCGAAAACATCATCTAAAAATATCCAAGATGCCAAAGCTGTTACTCCAATAACTCAGACTTGTCAGAAAGAAATGCATAAAACTGTTAATTTGGGTAATTTGCAGATTGATGCTTTAAATAGATACTGGTAGTCAGGTATAACGTTAATCCGGAGAAGATATACATAAGAAGATAGGTTCTCCTGAACTTGAGTCAGCAGAGCTACAGTTAACGGGGTTTGAAATTTGGCAACATTAACCTATAGAGAGATTTGAAGGTGAATTCGAAATTGATGGTTCTTCATTTAGATCAAATATTTGTTTTATCGCAGAAAACAAGAAATCTGAGAATGATTCTGAAGAGCAAAAAAAATGCTTATTGCAATGGAAATGGTTCTGAAGAAGGATTCGGAAAAGTTGTTAATTATGGTGTTTTACTTCCAAAACCAGAAACGGATCCCGTTAGTATAGTTCCTGTTACAGTACAGAATGTGATCAAACTGGATACCTCATCCACAATCAAAGCAAGTGGCAATGATTTCCTGATTGTGAATTCTGACAACGTTCCGAGTAATACAGATTCTGATATAAGTTAAAATGATGCTATTAAAGATAAATTTGAATTAGTGCAAAAAGGAAACTCAAGCACAATACAATTAGCTTCGAAGCCAATGAGGAGAAACGCCACTGAAGAATGAGATTCTCAAAAGAAGCATGTTCCTAAAGAAGAGTCTCATGTTAGAGTTTATGATGAATTAATTGTTAATTCTACTAAAAAAAACTTCAGTAACATACCTGATAACAGACAAGCAAAAGAAACCACTGGAGACAAGGAAACTACAGAGACCACCGAAGAAGAAAAGAAGATTGAAAAGCAGAAGTCAGTTAAAAAGTCTGATGAAAACAACACTAATACAGAAAGCAAAGACGGAACAAAAGAAACTAAAGAAGGTGAGAAAAAAGAAGTGGAAATGCAGATTCAGACGACCCAGGCAAAAAATAGAAAATCTTTGATAATGAAATACCAATTTTGATGATTCCTGATTATAGACTTTTTCCCAAGGTGACAAATTTCTCCCGATTTGACTAACGGACTATTATTTTAAAGACGTGAACTAATTTAAGAAGACTGAAGATGATATCTAAGGATAAAATGTATGAAGAAAGACGGCTTAAAGAAGATGATTTTTAGAAGACGCATACGAATGACTGATCTTGAAGATATCTAAGATGCATTCAGAAGACATATCCAGACGGTATCTAAGAAGACGCATTCAGAAGACGTATCCAGATGATGTTTAAGAAGACATAAATACGAAGACGAATCCAGACGAATTATTCCAGACAACATGAAAGGAAGATGTGTTTGTGAAATGTATGCATTCAGATAGACTTTTTATTATTATTATTTTTTTTTTTTACACTGCTAAGGAGGACTACTAACCGGGAACAAGCCCTTGCAGTATGATGTCCGCTCTGCAGACATTTATTAAGTCTAAATTAAAAAAAAAAAAAAAGAAAGAGTACAGAGTCACATCTAGATAAAGAATACAAAGGACTACCTTGAATACATATGACATTCCTGATAGTATAGATTACAAAAATAAATAAATAAAATACTTAGAAGTACAAAGCTGCATTGATACAAAACTGGTAAAGGTAAAACAAAAAAACAGTAAAATTTAAGACTAACATTGGAATTTCAAGCCTGCAGTTATACATCACACTGACTTACTATTATACACTTACTATAATTCCACCAACATATTATGCAATATTTACTATAATACTGAAAACACACTAACATAGTAAAACTGATACTACAAATAAAACACACTATATACACTGCTCGTATCAGAAAAGTACACACTGACATAGTAAAGCTGATACTACAAATAAAACACAACATATACACTGCTCGTATCAGAAAAGTAGACAATTCTGTACATGATGCTGTACTGTAACGCTAAAACTAAAGAACACTAGACAATAACCTTTGGAAACAGTCACAGTGAAATTAGGAATATAATATATTGTAGCAGAGTTAGAATACGAGTCATTTCAAAACATTAAATCCAGCAAAAATATTTCAATACATATTTACAAAGTTCTACAACCAAGAAAGTCTGGTTCAATACTACTATTATACATCACACTTACTTATCATTATACGACCCTAAACTATTATACTCCACATTAATAGAAAAAAATTATACAAGATACTTAATGGAATACTGTACATACACTGAAATAAAATGGCGAATACTACAAAATAACAATCAATATACAATGTGCTTATCAGAAAGTTGGTTCTGCGGCCACGAATATTTGTTAGAAACTGTTGCATTTTGCACAATACTAGAAACTGTTACAAAACATTTGCACACAATATTTCATGGTACTAGCCGAGAGAGCTCTATATATGTATTTACTATTATACCGCAAACTTAATTTGAAAACATAACACAACGCACTTACTACTTAACAGGTCAATACACTAAGACAATATGTAAATTGAAATACACAGAATACAATACAAAAATTAAGTAAACACAATAAAATTTAAAGATTAATAATGGATAACAACATGTTCCAGCAAAGTTATTCATGTACTGCACTAAACATGGCTGTCATGCATATACGTAATATAGGTACAATGGCATGTCATTAGTCTCTGAAATTGTCCTAATTTCAGTAGTTTTCAGTAGTTGATATTATCGTATATAATAAGATACCAAATTTGTAAGGTAAGAATTATGAAAGTTGTTGGTATAGAATTGCCTGCTGTAGCTGCTGTTGACACCGCTTCTGTTCAACAGAATTCACGAGCACAAATGTCCATTACTCGATGAATCTGATTAAATGCGAGCTTACTTCTCTTGAGGGTGTCTGACCACCCGGACCAGTGTGCTTCAGAGGGTTTTTTTAAATGAAATGAAATGGTATCGTGAGAGAGCATTCGAAAGCAAAGTGATCCGGATCACCTAGTGTTCCACATCTACAACTGTCTGAAGTAGCTAATCTGAAGCGCCGTAAATAGCTTGGAAATGGTCCGTGTCCAGTAAAGAAATGTGTAAGATGAGCACTACTAGTGACCAGATTCAGACCAACTTTGGGGAAGAAAGAAAAACGAAAGGTTCTGCGGCCTGTGGTGGAGTTGTTCCATCTCTGTTGCCAAATTTCTAACATTTTAAGTTCGGTAATCTTTTTTAAATAGGAAACTGGTGCTTTTAGGGGTGTTA